CCCAAGGATTATGGGCACTAAAAACTAACGAAACGAGCAAAGGAATAAAAACTTAAAACAGAAAATAGCAATGAAGAGTACAGACCGAAAGAGTTAAGACGAGTCGGTTAAATCTGTTTTTTTCTGGCCACAAAAACATGCTTTCGCACTTAAGACAGAGTAATAACTTAACCAACGCCGCCACGGCAGACAGAGAAGTAAGCGAGAGAGGAATGAGTAAAGTGAAAAAGTGAGAAATTGGTCGAATTTATATGGACAACTGTGCCTTTGTATTTGTGTGTGCCACTTATACTTTTTGTGGGCAGATAGAATTTAAGTTTATAGTCATGCCACTATTCGCCGGCATTGTCTGGCATTTCAGCACTGTTGACCACTTTAAATGTAACGGTCGCAATTTCTGCTGCAGCTTTTTACTTTTGTGTGACAAATTAAAAGAAAAAAACGCAAGCTGCAAGTATATGTATGTATGCGCATTAGGGCGGGGGGAAAAAAAATCGTAAAGTCAGAATTTTAATGCTCTCACCCCCTAGGACCGTTATACACTGAAAAACTTATACCCAGCTTTTTATTTTGAAATGAAAAAATAGTTAGAGGCCGCCTAAAGTTTTCCATGTGTTTTATATGGAAATTAACTAATTTTCGAAGGAATTGTATATAATTCTTAAAAATCAATTTTTTTCGTTAGGAGAATTTTGTTTCTCTTTAAGGGACTTTCAATATTAATACCAAATTGTTTGTTTAACAATTTTTCAGTATTTTTTTTAAAGGTCCTCTAAAACACCAAAATGCAATGGGGGGCAAATAAAGAACTTATTTTTTATTTATATTAAAAAATTTCTAAACAAACTATTGGGTCTTAATATTGGAAGAAGAAAAACAGACTTTTCTGATGGAAAGATATATACTTTCAAGAATTTATATCTACCATTTCCACGAAATTTTTTTTTCTCCCCATATAAACTACAGGGAAAACTTTAAGCCGACCTTTTAATGTTTTATGATTTTGAAATAAAAAATCAGGGGTACAGGATTAAAATTCCGGCTTCACTTTTTCACATGCATTTTTGGACTGCCCTATTGTTTATACATCTGGAATTTGAATTCGTATGCAAGTGCGCGCGAGGTGCAGACAATGTAAATATGAACTTCATACATATTTACTTACTTGTATGTACATTAGGGCGGGCCAATGTTTTTACCATGCGCATACCAAAAACCCCTTATGGCAGGTTTTATACAAAATTTAAGCATTGCTTTACGACATTACAGCGAAACGATAAGAAGCCTGCTTTCGCAATTTGGCAAACTAAAAATTGATTTTAGACCCATGAAGTCTGCCGCAAATTTGCTTAGAACTGCACGTAGAAAATATCTGTGCTATATGCTCATAGTCCAAAAAAGCTCACATACAAATTGACCCGCCCTTATGTAGGTACATATGAAGCATTTTTCGTCAACTGAAGCCCTACTCTCTCACAAATTGGTTCAGGTAAAAAAAGTCGGCTATATTCGTGAAAATTCGATAATGTTTAGTTATAGGTTATGAGTGGCGAGTCTGGAAACACAGATGGCGGGCAAAGTTTTTGCAAAATGATTTGATTCACTAGAAATTTGCCAATTTGTTACTCCGGAGTTTTAGAGGTCTGTGATAACCAAAATTATCACGATTGTTTGATAATTAGTTAATACTCGCTGCAGAATTGGTTCAGTTAAAAAAATCGGCCATAAGTGGGGTTTTTTTTTAAATCCAATATGGCGGACAAAAATTTTTTCGCTTTATTTGATATTTGAATTTTAAAAATCAACGACCCCTAGAGCGCTTAATAACAAATTTAAAGCGAATCGAATAATTAATCTTAATTTTTGTCCGCCACATTGGATTTGATTTGCTCGAAATTAAAAAAAAAAAAACACTTCTCTCATAAAATAAAAATTTTATTGAATTTCCTGGAATATATACCCTTAACCAATTTTGGACAGCGGGGCACTTCAGTTGACAAAGAATGCCTCATATGTAGTATAAGCACGTACATACATACATGCATACATACATGCATATGTACATACGTACACTTCAAATAAGCGCTAACATTTTATGAGGCCATTTCAGCTAAACTTATCTAACCGCGAAGCAACGTGCTTCGAAAAAAAATTGTTTACAGCTGTTTTTACAGTTTTTGCAGCAATCACAGGCGTCACTTGCGACAATTTCCCACAACCGCTATCTAGCAACCGCTTTTCACAATCACTTACAGTTGCTCGACCACCACTCAAACCTGTTAACATTGCAAGCAAACACTGAGAGCACTGGAAGCACTTGACGCCGAGCTGATGAAAATGCAATGCTCATACGACGTGTCGCACACCACAGGGGAATGCAGAAGTGCATTGAACAGGAAATTAAAAATTGAGAAATGAAAATGAAAAATGCAAAAATGAAAAAATTCAGCACAAAAAATGGAAAATGCATAACGGGAAAAAGTAAAAAGTAAAGAATTTTTTATTGCATTACGGAAGAGGAGAAAAGAAAATATGTTGTTTAATTTGTGCGTGACAACACGTACATACATATGTACGCTCACACGCAAGTTGCGCGACTGACAGCGGGAATTCGCATGAAAATTTGCGACAAACAAATTGTTGCTTCTACGATGCATTGTTGCAGCAGCAGAATAAAGGACACTTGAAGGTATTGGCAAAAAGTGTTAAATGAAAAAAATACTCAGCAGAAAAAAAAAGTATAGATAAATCTGATAAACTACGATGACAAATGCTTGAGACGGAAGCAGCTTATTGGTTCGTAGATTGGTATGGTAGAGAAGTGCTTCAAGAATTTCAAAGTGCCACACCCTGAGGAGGGGAAGCAAAATCAGCAGCAATCAACGCGCAAAATTTTTCTGCCAGCCAACGGAGCTGTTTACGCATATGCATGCGACTGCGTACATACACACAGTGACTCAAACAAGTGTCCACATGTTAACTTTTTTTTAAATATTCCAAATGTTTTTCGACTTAAAATTTTCTTCAATTCAAAATTAAATTTAAAAAAGTAAAATTTCAAACCTTATGCAAAATCGAACTCTTTAAACTTATACCCAAATTTACAAAAAATAAAGAAGATTTTATTAGGTTTGTAAATCGAAAATTTTTATGAAAGTATCACTTTATGGAGCTCTTTCAGCTTATTTTATTTTTTATGAATAAGGCCATTAATCTTTAGAATATTTTTGTGTTTGCAGTTTTATATATAATATATAAAGTTTTTTCGGAGAAAAGTGCAGTTGCAGAAAGGTGGCAACCCTGTCCAAAAAGTTAAAACCCACAACCTCTTTCGTTTAATACCCATATGATGTATATTTAAATTTTCTAATTGCCGTAATTTAAATTCAGCTATATTTTAAAAACAGGTGGCAACCCTTCTACATATAATTAAGGAATAAAATAAATTGTATTTACTTTAATCAAATAAACATACTTAGAAGATTTCAGCCAATATTTCTCATATTCCCATATGCCAAACGAAAGGAAATAATTTGAATTCTTGATAGAAGAAAACGAAAGCAAAATCATTTGAGCGGTTTTCGAATATTGATAAAAAAAATTTTCGAATTTAAATTTTTTTTTTTGCGTTAACATGCTTAATGTTTGTCAGATTGATATTGAATTTGTACACAATTTTGATCTAAAAACTTATATTTCGAAAATGAAAGTTATATCTGTAAAACCTAAGTGTTGTAGCAGTTTAAAATCTTAAAAATATAACCCCAAAATAAGCCAATATTTAGTAGGAGAGAAATCGTGGTGATCACTTATAAAACTAAATCTGTCAATAAATTTGAAATCTTTTATTGGAAACTCCACATTTGAAATGGCGTCATTACTTCCCGTGCAGTAAATATTTTTGTGAAGCTCTTTAAATTACATCTAACACGGCCAAGGCCTGAATAGGCTCTGTTTGGCTTCCAAGCGTCACCATACCTAGAACAGTATCACCTAACTAGCGTTCAGACCTGCAACCAAACAGAAATTTATTAAAATACATAGAGCGTTCTTGATCACGACACCATCCAAATAGTTCCCTGCTGGATTCTATATAAAAAATCCCATCAAAAGTTTTAAATGTAGCTATTTTATTATATGTACCACTATTTACGCCTACTTTCGAAAACGCAATATGAATGTACACAATTTTTGTGTGACACTGTAGGCGTAGAACAATGCGTTTATGTGCAGTCGTAAATGCGAGAGATGACTCCATAAAATTGGCAATAAATCAACTCGCTGTCTGACTGGCACTGCTGTTGCATTGTGTCTGTAACGATTTGTTGCCAGCCGATTCTGGCACCTCACACATCTGCACATACATATATATGTTTGTACCTAGGAACTTACGCGTTTATTTACATACTTGTATACATACATACATATACATGTGGTTTCATTGTTTATCTTCCTTCCGAATTGCTTATTTTCTCTTTTTTTGTTGGGGTAACCAATTTTTCGCGATGCAAGTGAGGATAAACAAAAAAGGTGACAGAGTATGCACAATTGTCAAACGGAAACAGCAGCATTTTGTCCAAATCTAAATTTTGACTGAAGTTGGTTGACTTTACTCTGTAAGCGCGGCGATGGTACATAGTGTATTAAGTTGTTACTTTTTGTGACTTACAGGTTTTCGCACATTTTTTATTATGACACGGTGAGATAGGTAAACATTTTGAATAAAAAATGATTTTAAACGATTTAACAGTGTCCATTTTAATTGCGGTTGACGATTACTATTTGGAAAACACTCAGAAGTTTGTGAGTCAGTTTGCAGATAATTGAAATCTAGGTAAATATTAAAAAGTTAACATGATGATTATTTAACCGTTAATCGAGCTTTGTATCAAAAATGATACATTTTGTTTTATATCTTATCATAACTTCTTTAAAAAAAAAATTGAGTGCTGCATTCTTCGCGACTATGTTTATTTTGTTATTGCTGTTATTTTTAAACATATTTTCAAAAAATTTTGCAAGTAGGCCATGAGAAATTCAAAAACTTCATAATTCGAGCTATGTATCATTTTTGATACATATGGCAATTCAAACGTTTTTTTGCTGCGGTGCACGTCATTCGCTACGCGATTTTTGGTATTTGTGGTGTGTTTTTATTTCTTGGGGTGCTTTTTTGAAGATTCATTTATTTTGTCACATAATTGTGTGTATTCAAAACAATGTCGCGTCCACGGTTTTTGACCTTTGAGGAACTAGTGAATGAAGTACTGGATGAGAGTGAAGAGGATGAAGATGTTTCCGATCCTGAAACTGAAATTGAAAGCAGTTCGTCTGAAAGCTGCTTACCTGAACCGGATGACATTATTGGCAGTACTTCAGAAGCTGATCCAATGTATATAGCAAAAGATGGTACTACTTGGCGTAGCGAGCCTTACGCCACTGGTCGATTGGGGAGAGAAAATATCATAAATTTACGCCCAGGTTAGTAGTAATTGTTTATTGAAGTGTCATAGAATTAAGATTACTGGGCTTTAGGTGTAACAAGATTTGCATCCAGCCGGGTGAACAATATTCGGGATTCATTCCTACTACTTTTTCCGCCGTCACTATCAAAAATTGTAATTGATAACTCAAACAACTACGGAAAGTATATACATGGGTCTAACCATATCGAAATTTACGAGGATTTATTTCATGCCTACTTGGCCGTATTATTGCTGGCCGGTGTATATAAGTAAGTTTAACAACAGAAAAGTTTAAAAAAATATAAACTTATAACTACTATATGTTTATCAGATCCAAAAATGAAACTTTGCATGATTTGTTTGATGAATATTGTGGACGGCCAATATTTCGGTCAATTATGTCTGAGAAAACATTTTTATATATCCACAAAGTCATTCGTTTTGATGATGTGCTCACCCGACGAGGCCAAAGAAATGATGACAAATTCGCACCAATTAGAAACCTTTGGGGAAAATGGTCTGAACGGCTTCCCACATTCTACAATCCTACTGATTCTGTTACTGTGGATGAGCAATTATTGGGATTTCATGGTCGTTGTAAATTTCGCCAGTACATTCCATCGAAGCCAGAGAGATATGGTTTAAAATTTTGGCTACTTGTTGATTCACGCACATGCTATGTATGGAAAATACAGCCCTACTTGGGAAAAGGTGTGACAGGAAATCCTGAGAGGAATCAAGGAGAACGGGTTGTTCTTGATTTAGTTGATGGACTAAAAGGGCATAACGTCACCATGGACAATTTTTTTTTCATCTCACAGCCTTGGCCAAAAACTATTACAAAAGAATATGACAATGGTTGGAACTATGCGCAAAAATAAAAGATCTATTCCCCCAAAGCTACTGAATTGCAAAAAAATTCCACGATATGAATCAACTTTTGCCTTTACTCCTGATACCAGTCTCGTTTCGTACATCAGTCATAAAAACAAGTGTACACTTGTCATGAGTACAATGCATCACGCACCTAATATTGGGGATGACTCTAAAAAGTTGCCCGAAATAATCTCTTTTTATAACTCAACGAAGGGAGGCGTGGACACGGTTGACAAAATGCTAAGTTGCTACAGTTGTAAACGTAAAAATAATCGTTGGACTATGGCGGTATTTTCCAACATTATTGATATTTCCGCTTTGAATTCTTTTATTTTATACAACGAAATCGACCCCAATTAGAAGCAAACTCAAAAGCACACAAAACGTAAATGTTTCCTGCATGAGTTGGCAATTTCGTTGGCAAAGTCTTATATGGAAAAACGTAAACAAGGCCCAAGAAATGAACTATCTCTGGCGCTGCTTTCGAAACTCTCAAGTAAGAATATCCCCGTTATTAATGATAATGATGCTGGCCCATAAAAAAAAACAAAAAACTGATAAGTCTGCGAAAAAAAACCGCGCAAGGTGTCAAAAATGCTTTCATTCTGGAGAAAACAAAAATAAGTGGACTTCGTCATTCTGTTTTTCATGTAAAAAGCCGTGCTGTAATGACAAACATGCCAAAAATGTTTGCATAGATTGCATAAATAACACCTAAACATGTAAACTCTTAAAAAATACTTGCATATAATGTAGCAATAAAAATAAACATATTAAAACTCTAAAGTAAGATTTTGTAATAAATCAGTTTTTCCTATGAACTATAGTATGTATCAAAAATTATACATGGCTTCATTTATGAATTATTTTTTAAGCTCGATCTACGGTTAATACAAAGTGTCTACCGCAGAAGAAAAAGTTGCAACTATATCCAGCTTATGGAAAAATATGCCACCTACTGAGCTACCCTGCAGTACGGGGGAGCGACTACAGGACTGATAAATCGGTATCTACCAACTAAACTCCGTCGACTGCCGATCGACTTCTTGCCGTGTATTTCAGCAGTAGTCACCATCGGCTCTCTCTGCACTACCAGGAGTTACAACAGAAACAACTGTTATTCATTTGGTAGTACCAAGTACTCCTAGCTTACATATGTATGTACATACCAGAGAACTGCAACGAGTATGTCATGAGTATAAAAATGCGCATTTCGAAACAAGAAGTATGCGTACGTATAGTAGGTATAACATATAGAAAGTACGATTATAAAGCGTACTTTCAAAGAAAAAGTTTGCGAGGAGTGACATCGTAGCAGGTATGAGTACAAAAATTAGTTATGCGCATATTACTCATGCTGCCACGCATACTACTCACGCATACTATTCATGCTACTATTCATACTACTCATGCTACTACGCATGCTAAATTTTTTTTAATAATAACTTGTATTTCGTACCCACTTTGTAATATGTAACACAGAGACAGAAAACTGACAAATTGAATTAAGAATGTGGGCGTTGGATGAGGTAGTTCGCGATAGTAATTAGGCGAGCTTTCAAAGTAATTCACGGTGCCGCATAAGATAAGGGAAATCGATGTTCACCACAGAACGGCCAAGACATCAGACAACATCATTCCCATATTACTTTAGTTTTGTTATGTACGTACGCATGCACAACTAGCAATGCATTCTACGCTACGTACGTGACTTATATGGATTGCGTATAATTGCGTCTTACGCATACTCAAATTGTAACAAGAAGTAAGCTAGTATGACGTGCGTAGTACGCGCACAATGAATCACTCGTGCAGCGCTCTGGTACATACTTATTAGGTAGTTACATAGGTGCTAAATGAGTATATAAAACTGACCCTTTCTAGTGTTTTGTGTGTATAACATTATATGTATACGTAAGTGTTAAAAACATTTTGTTTTGCTCTTTTTAATTTTTATCCCTGCTGCTGCTTGACTCAAAGTTGCCACATGTAAATACACACATATGTATTGTAAGCAGACACCCAGGTGTTGCTTTATTCGATTCATATACAAATACGCAAGTTTTTCATTTTATTATATAAAAACTTGTATTTTGTATCCTTTTAGCTCCGAAAAATAAAAACTCAAATACTTTCTATATGCGAAATGTTGCATTAAAAAGTTTGGGGCGACGTGTTGCGTAGAAATAAATTTTTGCACTTCTGGCAACAGCTGCTGAAAGTGCACGCTTATTGCCTGCTTATTTTATGGATGAAGTTAAAATTTTTTTTTGCATAGTTGTAAATGAAGTTCAACTTGCACGCTGACAGCAGAGCGCCACAACAATAAGCAATTTCGTATCGAGTTAGGAAAAGTTGTTAAACGAAAACGAGTAATAGGGAATACGTAAAATTTTGATAGTCATATTGAATGGGTCGATAAACCGTTTTAAATAAGTTTAAAAAATGCTTATGTTGCTATCTTTGAGAACTTGGAGTACAGTAGTATAAATGATTCTCCCGTCGACATCGTTTCAAGAGTTTATTCAAAATCATTAATTTTGCAATACACTTTTTGTGTCAGTTTTATTTAAGTTTTAATATTATTATACGAATTTGCCTTAATAATAATAATAAAAGATTCCCGTTTACACATATGTTAGTGTTTGGCCGAGGTTCTCCTCTATTTGGTGGTGTGTACCTTGATGTTGTCACACAAAGGGGAGGGCCCTACTATTTTACGCCGACCCTGAACAGCCATTGTATTTTTATGAGAAGCAGTTTTTCATGGCAGAAATATTTACACTCGGAGGTTTGCCATTGCCTGCCGAGGGGCGACCGCTGTTAGGAACAACTTTTGCCAGTTAAGATGTTACTGGGACCAAAAATGAAACCCATCAGCCACATCTGCAGATATCATAACTACCCATGTATTTTCTCCCATTATAAGGATTGTCTCTGGAGAAAAGGTTAAATGTTACAACTTTGAGAGATATTTTCAAAATATTTAGTTACCAATCTTAAGTACACTTTGCGGTGTCTGAAGTTTAGAGATTAATAATTTATGAAGCTGAAGTAAGTTTTGTGGATTGGAAACACAACTGATTTAACTGAAATACATTTTTCGCTCTCTGAAGTACAGTTGAAAAAGGTGCAGCTCACAAAGTACACTGAATTTAGTTTTGTAGTGCAAGTTTAAAGCAGCTAAGATTTACCATTGATGTTCCGTGGCCAAAAGTTCTGGATAAAATGATGGATATTATTTTATATTTTTTACCACNATGTTCCGTGACCAAAAGTTCTGGATAAAATGATGGATATTATTTTATATTTTTTACCACTGTTATGTTTGAAAAGTGGCAGGATCGCCATGTTATGTTTGGTGTTTGG